TTGCGGTTTTCCTTAATGAGCTGGTAGCCAGATCGATCCACAGCTGAAATCCTACAGCTGAGGGTGCCTGTCCCCAGAAGCCAGAGCCCTCTGGTGCCCTAGCAACAGACTGGCTGCGCTTGCACTGCTCTCTCCTCTTTAACACCCTTTCCGTCCCTTGAGCACTGAGCACATTTCTCCCCTCAGAGAGCATGCTCCCTTCTTAGCTTCTGCAGGTGAAAACTCCATGGTGTCCTTGAAGCCATGTTCTCTCTGTGAGGCCTGGCTCAACCCTACTGAATGGTTTTTCTTTTCAGGAACCCAGAATCTTTTGCCTGAGTGGCTGACTTGTCCTCCACAAGCCCTGACACGCTCAGCACTGATACACACAGTGAGCTTAAACATCTCAGGATAATGAAGGAAGAGTTCAAAGTGAAAGTAAGCAGAGGTTCATGCCACACTTCCCGTAATTTCCTTAGGGAATCTGGCCCAGCTGCAAATAGTCAGGTAATGCTGTCCTGGGGTCAAAGAGCCTTCAGGGCTCCATGAATCCAATGCAGAGTGAATGGCCATTGGTCTGTCACCCTGGGTGCAGATACTGACATTAACATCCTCCTTGTATGCTTTCTGTGCAAAGTCACCACAACAAACTTTCCTCAGAATCTCAGTCGTACAACGTGCCAGAAGACTGGTCATCCCAGCTTCCCTGTGACTCCTCTGCCAAGCTCTGGCTGTGTCCCAATGATCCCCAAGAGGTTCACTTGCTGAATGGCAGCAAACAACCACACAGCTGTCACCGAGTTTATCCTGCAGGGTTTCTCTGAAGACCCTCAGCTCCAGGCCTTCTTTTGGGCCTTTTTCTTCCTTCTTTACCTAATGGCTCTTGCAGGAAACATTCTCATTGTCACAGCCATCAGCTTGAACCCAGGCCTTCATACCCCAATGTACTTTTTTCTCACCAACTTGGCCCTTTTAGACATTGTCTGCACATCTACTGTTCTCCCCAAACTGTTGGAGGGTCTGGCGGTCAAAGGTAGCACCATCTCCTACCAGGGCTGTATGACTCAGCTCTTCTTCCTGACATGGTGTCTGGGGGCTGAACTGCTGCTGCTCACAGTCATGGCCTATGACCGCTATGTGGCCATTTGTCGGCCATTGCACTACAGCACGTGGATGAGTCGCCCTTTGTGCATCCTGCTAGCAGGCAGCGTGTGGGTGGTCAGTGCTGTAAGTACATCTGTGCACACGGGGCTGATGGCACAGCTTAGTTTCTGTGGCCCGCGTCATGTCAGTCACTTTCTATGTGAAGTCCCCACTCTGCTGCTGTTGTCCTGTAGCCCAACAACTCTGAACAACATCATGATAGTCATTGCAGACATTTATTTTGGAGTGGTCAACTTCCTCCTGACCATGGCATCCTATGGCTGCATCATCACCAGCATCCTGCGCATTCGCTCAGCAGAGGGCAAGCGACGGGCCTTCTCCACCTGCTCTTCCCACCTGCTGGTGGTCTGCATGTACTACTCCACGGTCATCTATACCTACATCCTCCCAGGCTCGGGCTCCTCCTTGGAAAATGGCAAAGTGGTGGCAGTGCTATACACGGCAATCAGCCCCACCCTGAACCCCCTCATCTACTCTCTGCGGAACAAAGACGTCAAAGTAGCCCTCAGAAAAGTGTTTCTGTGTGTTTGGTAAAGGAAGTGAAGTGGCTGGTGTGGATTATTTCAGATATTAATCAGCTAATTTCAATACATGACTTTGGGAATCTGATATCTGATGCAAGTGTCAAAGGATAATAAGATAATGTGATCATAATGTGCTTTCCAATGGAGCTTTGCCAGTTTTGAACATGGGACTTCAAACACCTCAAGACCCTGAGGTAGATGCTCTCAGGAGGCAAGGGAGAACCAGTAGCTAGTTGGAAAGCAGGAGCCCAGCAGTGTCCACTCGTCTCTCCTCTCCTTCTGCATATTACTGACTAGTTTTCACCAGTGCTTGCACTGAACAAATGTTCAAGGCAAGCACATGTGAGGTGCTGCTGGCCACCTCCTCTTTTAGAGTAGAAAAATGGGTTGAGGTTCCAATGAGAGACGAGATTCAGATAGGCCCATCATGCATGCTTCATGGTACATTTTCATTGTGTGGGTGTGTACGTGTGTGTGTGTGTGTGTGTGTGTGTGTGTGTGTGTGTTTGGGAAGGGGAATTGTTTCTTGCTATTCTGCCTTGGGGAAAATTACCCAGACACTGACCCCCTAACCAACTCCTCTTGTGTGCAGTCATGGATAACACAACTTCTGCTCCTCAGCGTGAGCTTTCAGTTTTGGCACAATCAAAAGATGAGAAATATTTTTAATCTAGCCCTTCTTTTTAGTAAGTGGCAGAAAGATGTGTGATTTTATTTATTTCCTTTCAGAAAAGAGCACCATTTGGCCCAGCAGATGGTGTAATGTTTACATCTCTGGACTCCCACATAGTCGATGGCGGTTTGGGTCCTGAACTGTGTGTGTGCGTGCATGCCAAAAATCTCGAGAGGAGAATAGAGTGGAAGGAATTGCAGCATGGCCATACTTCCTGGGGGCTGATTTCTCGCTTTCTCTCTGTCTCTCTGGCAAGTGCACATGCCCTATAACAAAAAAATCTCTCTAAGAAAAAGAAAGAGGAAATAAGCAGCACTATTCTTTAACCAAGAAGCTTTGCAATAGCAAGAAGAATTTATTTTGGTTACTTAGTTTGGACAGAAAATCTTGCAGAATAATTTTCATGGGTTCATTTCCTTCCTGATCTCCTTATTAATGTCTTACTCTCTGCTCCTAGAATGTAAATGTTGATATTCTTTTTTTTTCTTATTTTTTACATTCAATCACTGTGTTATCTCTACAACATTGAAAAGGAATTTTCCAGCATGGATACCCTGTATGTTAGTCCAGTCTCCGAAATTACCAACATATTGTCATCAATAGATAGCTTTTCATTTTTGTGTCCATTAAATGTTTTGTGTTTCCCCCCCTTGATTTCCCCTCCTACTCTTCTCCCTCATTTTCTATTCCCCTCCATTTCCTATCCTCCTTCTACTGGTATCCACCATTACTCTCCCTGCTTTTATACCTTCCAATCCTTCAGTTTCTGCTATAGAGTGCAGATATTTGGTATATTTTAAGTGGGGACATACAATGTCTTTCTTTCACGGTCTGGCTTGCTTCACTTAGCATTAAATCTTCCACATTCTTCCACTTTCTATTAAATGCCAGGGTCTTATTATTTTTTTAATAGCTGAGTAGTATTCCATCGTGTATATATGCCACACTTTTTTCAATCCATTAATTTGTTCTCGAACATAGAATCAACTGAAATGTTGATATTCTTAACAGATTCACTCAAGACTCTCTTTGATCCTCCAGGTTAGTTCCATGGCTATTTGAAATGCTACATTTATCACTGATATTTGCCAATGATATCCAAATGCATAGCTACCAACCATGCCTCTCCTCTGAATTCCAACCCATTGTTGTAACTGCCTCAATAATACCTAGCTACCATAGGTATCTGGAACTTCTCCAAAGACTCCACTCAGGCCAAAGGCATTACCTTGAAACTTCAGCCTTATTCAGCTGCAAGAGCCCATTATTGACAACACTTTGATCCTCTTTTGTAGTTGCTGTCTCCAAACATCCTCAAATCATATTGATTTAATATCAACACCTGTCAGGTATGATGATATTGCTATCTTTCATACTCCTGATGCTGTAGCATCCTTATTAGATAACTCAATATCATCCACACGGTCTCCCACATAAATTCTTTTTTTTTTTTTTGAGAGGTTTTCGCTATAGGGCACGTGCGCTCGCCAGACAGAGAGAGAGACACCTAGAGATAGAAAGCGAGAAATCACCCCCCAGGAGGGATGGTCACGCCGCAATACCTTCTCCTCCATTCTCCTCTCAGGATCTTGGGCACACACGCACACGCGCCTGGCGTGAATTTTGAGCCACCAGGTCCGGGACGCGAACCGCGGTCGACTACATGGGAGTCCAGTGACATAGCCATTATGCTAACTGCTGGTACCCTCCCACATAAATTCTTGACATTTGTTTTCTACCCTTTATCTAGATTTATAATCTTCACATATTTTTAATGAAAGGTTACACACATAGAGCAATGTTGACAGAAGTTTGCAGTGAATACTTATGTACCCTATTACCTACATTCTACTGTAACTTGTTAGTAAATTTGCTTTATTTATCATTTATCCATGTGTTTGCCCACCAATTTATCTTATTCTGTGAATGTCAAAGCAAGCTGAAAACATTAATACATTTCTTAATTCTTTTTTTTTTTTTTTAAATTGCCAGGGGTGCATGTGCTTGATAGAAAGAGACAGAGAGACAGAGAGGATGAGAAATTACCTTTCAATGGGGTGTGGTCATGCTGCAATCCTTTCTCCTTCATTATGTTGGAATTTTAGGCATGAATACATGCAGCATGTTCAAGTAGCTGGTGTCAGGACTCAAAGTATAATTTGGCCATGTGGATCTGGTTTCCTTAGCCATTAGGCTATGGTGCCCACCCCCCATATACTTTTTCCTTTTTTTTCTGGAGGGAAATTTGGCTAAAATTTTAAAATTTATTTGAAACATTTAGTTTTTAAAATTTTTTCTTTTTAAAAAAATTTGTTTCTTATTTATTATCAATACCTTGTTTATATTACATTGAACCACATATATCTATACAGTGTATTCCATTTGTTTTTCTGAAGGAATACTTTGCATATCAGTCAAGACAAAAACATTACTATCCACATCATCATTGTCAAATAGCTTTTCACCATTTTGTCCCAGATTACTATAATTAATTTTTATTATTATTATTTTTTGCTGGTCCATGTTCTATTTTTTTCTTTTTAATTTTCATTTATTTATTTTTATTATCATCATAATCTTTATATTACACTGAATTACTTATAACTTTACTGTGTATTATATTGCTTTTTCAAAAGGGAATGCCATTCATGTCAGTCAATACAGACATTAATCTCCCCACTTCATCATTCAATATCTTTTCAATGTTTTTCCCAATCATCATTATTATTATTCTAATTATTTTTTTAAACAGCCAATCACTATTTCTCATTTTGCTTGTAAAAAGACTTTATCCATCATGAAATACTTCTCAGACCAATCCAGTTGAGAATACTATACATGTCATCATCAACAGGTAATAAGCCATATCTGTTTCCCACTAATGTCCTACCTCTCTATTTGTTCTCTTGCTATCTTTCTCTATCCTCTTCTCTTCACGCCCCCTTACCACACTGTCTTATTCTCACTAAATACTTTCACTGCTTTTATGTCCTCCAATATTTTGCTCTCTACCATAGAGTGCGGATAGTCGGTATATATTAAGTGGATACGTGCAATATCTTTCTTTCATATCCTGGCTTACTTCACTCAGCAGTAGATCTTCCATATCTGACCACTTTCTATCAAATGCCAGGGTCTTGTTATTTTTTATGGCTGAGTAGTATTCCATAGAGTATATATACCACACTTTTTCAATCTATTCATCAGTTGTGGACATTTAGATTGGTTCCATGTCTTAGCAATTGTGAATAGTGCTGCAATAAACATTGATGTGCAAGCACTTTTCTGACTGAGCGTTCTCCTGTCCTTTGGGTAGATACCCAGAAGTGGGATTGTTAGATCAAATGGTAGTTCTATTTGTAGATCTTTGGGGAACCTCCATATTGTTCTCCACAGTTGTTGAACCAGTTTACATTCCCACCAACAGTGTAGGAGAGTTACCTTTTCACCACATCCCTGCCAACACTTACTACTTTTTATATTCTTAATCTTTGCCATTCTGACAGGGGTTAGGTGGTATCTCATTGTAGTTTTTATCTGCATCTCCCTTATGATGAAGGATGTTGAGCATTTCCTCATATGCTTTTTGACTGTTTGTATGTCTTCCTTAGAGATATTTTTGTTCAGCTCATTTTCCCATCTTTTAATTGGGCTAATCATTTTTTTTTCCACATAAGGCACTTGATTTCCCTGTGTATTCTGGTTATCAGTCCCTTGTCTGAGGCATATTTAACAAAAATATTTTCCCATTCTGAGGGTTGTTGGTTCACAGTTGTTACTGTGTCCTTTGCTGTGCAGAAACTTCTTAGTCTGATATAGTCCTACTTGTCTATTTTAGGGATTATTGCCTGTGCTTTGGGAGTCTTATTTTTTAGATTATCATTATTTTTTAGACATTCAACAACTATATATCATTTTGCTTGTAAAAAGAATAAAATAAAAAAAGAATTTACCCAATGTGAAGTACTTCTCGGACTAGTTCAGTTGAGAGTACTATACATGTTATCATCAACAGAAAATAAACCATTTCTGTGTCCCATTAATGTCATGCCTCTTAGTTTGTTCTCTTGCTATCCTTCTCTATACTCTTCCCTTCTCCCACACTGTTCCACACTGTCTTCAGCATCCCGAAGTATTTTCACTGCTTTTATGCCCTCCAATATTTTGATATCTACCATAAAGTGAAGATAGTCAGTATATATTAAGTGTATATTAAGTGGATATGTACACTATCTTTCTGTTATATCCTGACTTGCTTCACTCAGCAATAGATTCTCCATAACTGCCCACTTTCTATCAAGTGCTAGGATCTTACTTTTTTTTTTTATGGCTAAGTACTATTCTATAGAGTATATTTGCCACATTATTTTTTCAGTCCATTCATCTGTTTGTGAATATTTGGGTGGATTCCATGTCTTAGTGATGATGAATAATGCTGTAATAAACATTGATGTGCAAGTGCTTTTCTGACTTGGCATTCTTCTGTCCTTTGGATAGATACTTAGAAGTGGGATTGCTGGATCAAATAGTAGTTCTATTTGTAGATCTTTGAGGAACCTCTTTATTGTTCTTCACAGTGGCCGAACCAATTTACATTCCCACCAACAGTGTAGGAGAGTTCCCCTTTCATCACATCCCTGCCAACACTTATCACTTTTTATATTTTTAATCTTCACCATTTTGACAGGGGTTAGGTGGTATCTCATTGTGCTTTTAATCTGCATCTCCGCTATGATAAGGGATGTTGAGTATTTCCTCAAATACTTTTTGGCTGTTCATATGTCTTTTTGTTTAGCTCCTTTTAATGTGGGTTATCTTTTTTTTTTTTTTTTTTTTTTTTTAGTAAGCCGCTTCAGTTCTCTGTGTATTTTGGTTAGCAGTCCCTTTCCTGAGGCATATTTTACAAAAATATTCTCCCATTTTTAGGGTCGTTGGTTCACACTTGTTACTGTGTCCTTCGCTGAACAGAAACTTTTTAGTCTGTTATAGTCCCACTTGTCTATTTTAGGGATTATTGCCTGTGCTTTGGGAGTCTTAGAAAGATAGCAAGAGAACAAATAGAGAGGCAGGACATTAGTGGGAAACAGATATGGCTTATTACCTATTGATGATGGCATGTATAGTATTCTCAACTGGATTGGCCTGAGAATTTTTTCATGATAGGTAAAGTTTTCTTACAAGCAAAATGAGAAATAGTGATTGGCTGTTTAAAAAAATAATTAGAATAATAATAATAATGATTGGGAAAAAAATTGAAAAGATATTGAATGATGAAGTGGGGAGATGAATGTCTCTGTATTGACTGACATGAATGGCATTCCCTTTTGAAAAAGCAATGTAATACACTGTAAAGTTATATGTAATCCAATGTAATACAAACAAGATTATGATGATAATAAAAAACTAAAAAAAATTATTGATGAATAAAAAATGATGTTCAGAAGTTAAAAAAACAAAAAAAGAAGTCTTTTCCTATCCCAATGCCTCCTAGAGTTTCCCCAGTATTTTCCACCAGTAGTTTTATAGTTTGAGGTCTTTGGTTCAGATCTTTGATACATTTTGAGTTGACTTTTGTTAATGGTGAAAGATGGGGATTCAGTTTCATCTTTCTGCAGGTAGATGCCGAGTTTTTTTATTTATTTATTTTTTGGAGAGGTTTTTGCTATAGGGCACATGTGCTTGCCAGAAAGACAGAGAGAGAAAGAGAGACAGAAAGTGAGAAATCA